ATTGTCATTGTCATTGTCATTGTCATTGTCATTGTCATTGTCATTGTCATTGTCATTGTCGTTGTCGTTGTCGTTGTCGTTGTCGTTGTCATTGTCATTATCATTATCATTATCATTATCATTATCATTATTGAAATATAAGAGTACCTTGCACGGAGACTAACAATAAAGATTCAATAATACGGGCTACGCATTACAAGAAGTCATTAACGGGTTCCTCGTAACTGGCCCCTAGTAACGGACCCCAAGTAACCTTGATCATGGCTTCACTGTTTTGCCACGTAAGTAACAATTGCATCGTGAACACACTGGGAAAGACGGACGTCATCTTTTTTTCCAAAGTTACTCTTGTGGGCTACGAACTGAAGGAGATTGGGAACGAAATACATCCCGATGGTTTGCGCTATGGTAAATATGGTGGAAACTTCCTTTTCCTTGTGAAAAACATTTTTGATCCACATAGCAATCAAAACGTAAAATGTCATCAGAAACACTTCCACGAAGATGAACATCATTTGTCTTCTCAGAGGGTCGCATGTCTCAATGCAAAAATCGAGCAAGGTTCTTGACAGGTAAGTGGCGAAATGATCACGGTAAAGGATAACTTTTGGAGGTTGTGGGTCATTTTTCAATTCTATTGTCAGTAATGCACCATTAAGGTGAGCCATCCTTTCAAAAGCCTGTGGATTTCTTGCGGTGCAGTCGCTATTGAGTCGATTCAGATGATCCAAATTTTCAAGTATTTTAACGACTTGGTCACGAACTCTGTCATAATTCTCCCTCACATCCTTGGCAATTTTATACAGAACAATGGAAACAGAACCGACAAGGGCAACGTATCTGAAAGCCATGGTTGGAACCAGCACTGCTCCAATGTAAGTGAACATTGTAACTTCAGCCAGCAGATAACAACAGAACATCACAGCTACAATCAAATAGACGAGAAACGCAGCTAAAATCACACCATGAACAAAACAAATAGCGCTAAGAAAGACGTTGTATCCGCGCCAATCCCACTGTTTGTGCCACGCCTGCTGAACATTGTCTATCGTTTCGGTATAAATTGCCAGAAATAGTACTTTGTAAAAATAAAACGCCGGTGTAAGGTAGTAAAGAAAGGCGGCTGTTATAACGAATGCGAAGGTAACAGCACAAAGAAACACAGATATAACGATCTCAATTAATGTATGATGCTTGAAAAGTTCTGCCCAAGTTTTCGCGAACAGGGCTGGAGGTACCTTGAAACTATCTTCAACCAGCATTCCCCAAAACCGGCGATCTGATATGAGGTAAATTCGCTCTAACATGCAATGGGCGAGGAATTGGTATTCTCTCTTCCGTGCATTTTCTCGAAATACTCCTTCAGGATATTTCCACAGCCCTAAAAAATGTGTGGGGTGCACATCTTTGAGATAGACACTCAAAAACTCTGGGATTAACGCTGCAACTAGAAAGGTCACAGAAAACATTACGAAGTAATTCTGATAGGACGTGTACCACAGACGAAATGAAGTCACGATGGCAAACGAAACGAAGAGAAAGCGACGAATTCGTGACTTGATACCTTTTCTTTCCTCCATGTAGAAGCACAATATGCACCGTAGAAAACGTCCGAAGTAAACTGGGCTTTTAAAGGTGGGGCAGAAGTCCTTGTGGTTTAGACCCGCCGGATAGTTAATCGCGGGCGGCTGCGTACTCGGAAAGTAATGAACAAGAAGCGGAGAATAAAGCCAAAGAATGATCGCAATGATCAAAATCACGTAGTATTTCCTTAAAAGTTCTTTCTTATGCAATTGGCCCTCCTTGTCGAAACAGTTGTAATGAACAAAGTCGTTTTTTGAAATCCCTTTTCCAAGATAAGGTCTTTTCGTAAACAGTTGCCTCAAAAATCGCCAGTAGTAGAATATATCCGGTATCGCGGTGTTCGGATTCCGTATGACATCATTAACTTCATAGTCGAGCTGAAAACAGATGTAGTTCCAGTCCTGCTTGTCCTTCACCGTGACATTAGCCACGAACTCCTGAATAACTCTCCGAGATAAAGAGCATCGAGGTTTCATAAGTTTGGCGCAGGCCTTGTTACAGTAGCCCGAAATGTCCCACTTTCCATCAGGCCCCCAAAAATCGTCTGTGATTATTCCCATAGTTCCTAGCGATAAGACGTTGAAATTGTGAGGGAAATGAAGCATGTATTCATGTGTATCAGCCACTGATACCCATGTTTCAAACTCGTCCCTCGCCTGTTTCCATTTCCCTTGTGTGTCGAGATAATAAACAGGACCCTTGAAACGGAGAAAGTGTTTGTGTGGTCGGTACTTCAACCGGTCGATAATTTTTTCTGTCATATCAGCTTGGTTGACCCAAATAAATTCACACAGTTGGTCTGAAGCCGAACAACTCTCAGCAGAACAAATGTCGACGGAAGAACAGCTTCCGAACAGGCAGCCAGTAACAATGAGAAGGCCAGACACAAAATAGAGCCGAAAGGGAGACACCATCTAAAATAAGGCACCAAAATTATAAATGCGAACAACTCAGAAGGCTTTTGTATGAATATCTGAATTAGATATGGAATCCACACCAAGCTCATTATACACTGTCAATAGACCGAGGTATTAGGCTAAGATATCCATTCAGACTCATTGATGTGTCAGAACTGATTTAAAAAACCAAAAAAAAAAAAAAACTGGTCAGATGAGAAATTATAATTCAAATATATCCCTTCACAAATATATCCGTCAGTACCGTCGCTTGCAGGGTTTTTGAACACTTATATGGGAAGAGGGCAACCCTAAAACACGGAAACTGGAAACCGGGAACCAGAAACCGAAACCGGAACCGGAAACCAGAATCCGGAATCCAGAATCCAAAAATTAAAGAAAACAAATTCTTTAAATACGCGAAAGCAACTTTGCATAGCTTTTGCCTGTTAAAATCAAGAAGCCAAGTAAAAAGGAGCTCAAACTTGACCTTTTTTGGAACGAGGATTCCCCGTCTGTCGAAATTCGTGCAACCGTTATTTCTAATGAGGGTTATAATTATGAGAATTTAAATAGCCTGCGTCCTAATTTGATTCTAAGTACCCTAACAGGTTCTAAAATAAGCTTTCTGGTAATTGCCATTTTGTTTAATAAGTGATCTGCAATTTACCGGAGGTATAAATTTGGCCTTTATGTCTAATAGATACTGAACAAGATAGGAAATGACGTCATGGAGAACAAGGTCTCCGTCAGTGGCAGCTCCTTGTACATCGATGGTTACGCCATCCACTTTCGATGTCCAAAGGTTAATCTGACTCGTTTAAATAAATTTGTTTTTCCCAACAGATACGAGACTTGTTCCAGATCAACACTATTCCACACTGATACTGTTCCAAATCACCACTACTTGGCCATCATATTAAAACAATTTATAGAACTGCTGCACACTTACTTCAGTCTGCTTCTCGCTTGCGAACGGATTGGAACAAAAGTTATTAACAGATGTGCTACTCACCAGTCTTCTCAGAGCAAGAGAATCCGGATTCCGGATTCCGGATTCCGGATTCCATAATTTAGGGTTGTCCATGGAAAGAAGCTGAAATTCCGAGAAACGAAACAATAGAACTTGATATAAACACAGGAGTTCAAAACGATGAGAATTCTGTCAGTCTGACAACAGGCTGCGAGTGAAAATTGTTTTCATTTGGTGAATGTTTCATTAGTTATTGTAATCAAGCGTCCAACACGCCACACTAGTAGGCCACGAAATGTACAACTTAAACGGCGAAAACGATGAAAGCGATAAAAGCGATGAAAAGCGAGCGTTTGCCAAAAACAAAATAAATTACAAGTTATGGGCGAATACCGTGAATAAAAGAAACAGAAATAACGAGCCAAAGGTAGAGGATCAGGCTTACAAACGTTGCATGACTAGGACGGCTAGGAACACGATAGAAGAAAGCGGAGAAGACGGTCAATTGAAACAAGATGACTGTAATGTCGCGATGGAAATGCACAAATAGACTAGAAAAACGCATACAAAAAGGCACTGAAACAAAACGAACTTATGCGAAAAACACTAACAGAATATTGATAACGTGAAAGCGAGATAAACGAAAAGAGTACCATGATGACGGAAGAATGCGCGCACAAACGGAAATGCGGCCATGCGGCGGCGACATTACTTCTTTGCTACTTGTCTGATTTACCACGGAACTACAACAGTTAAGAAGCAGAAAAGAAAACGGATGATTAGGCCAGCTACTTTCACATTCTCTTTGCACAGCTATAAATATAAACTACTCAGCTACTCACCGTAACTTACTTGCTAACGGCATTCAAGTTTTTCTAATTTTCCAGACAGACACGCTGTGTCTAATATTCAAATAAGTTCGGCTAGCTTATGGGTCACGACGTATACTGACATATGTCAGATGTCTAAGTCGTTTCTTTACAATATTTCAGACCCATTTTAATTTATTTAAATGCATGCCTTCTTCGGAAATAACAGCAGGGCAAGTTCTGAGAAAGCCTGCTAACATTACCCCATCCCTCCCTTGGAATAACAGTTTAGTTATTCCATGAGACACTACGAGTGAAAGGAACCAATATGGCGACCATCGTACGTACCAAGAGGGATGTTCGTGTTGTCATTTTTCGTTCCTTTTAGCGGCCTTGCTATACGTCAGTCATTACCCGCAAGACACAATCCAAATCTGAAGAAAAAGAAGGGCCCAGTAGCGGACAATAAGAAAAAGAAACAGCTGGTCATTCGCAAACCGACTGAAGTCGTGCCCCGTGTAGATCTAGAACCAGGCATGAGTTGTTAGACGCTTCTAGATTACGAAAGCCGATCAAGTTATTATCACCTGAAGAGCAAGAGAGACGAACTTTGCTGTTGAAAGAATGGTCTAGGTACAAGATGAAGCAGCACAAGGAAGATTTACAGCGCGTTCAAGAGCTGGAACGTTGCCGTGAGGAAGCTTTGAAAGAACTGAACAAGAGCTCGCGGCGGCCATAGACCAAGATGGGACCGGACCGGACCGGACCGGACCGGATCACGGTTCGAATCCCGGACCGGATCACGGACCAGATCACGGATCGGATCACGGATCGGATCACAGAAAAAAAAAAAAACGTTTTAAAGAAAAAAAAAAACCAAAAAGAAATCAAATCGTTTATAAGATAATAATAAATAAAAATAAAAGTTGAAAACTAAAATATGTTAGTTAACAATTATTCACCGAAGTGGAGGTAAATATCCATCACTTTCACCGACACTGAGGTGAATAATTGTTTTAGTATATACCACACAAGCTGAATAATTAGTGGACCAAAACGTTCTTTTATGTGTGACAAGCGGTCGGAAATTTTAAAATCTCTCCCGCCTGCTGTTCGGAGGTTAATACTGACTTGCTAATCACCTCCGAGTTGACCAATCAGAGCGCGCGAAAATGACTATTCACTTGTGTGGTATATACTAAATGAAAATAAGAATCCCGAATTTGACTCAAGTAATGACATGTTAATTACAGAGAATGACAAGAAGTCATTTAAAGAGCCACATAAGCGCCTAATTTACGACGAATTGAAATTATAATGAACAGGCAGATGTAGTTATATTTGAACGTTAGTTGGCTCGAAGCTTGCGTGAACTCCCATTCACGTTTTTGAAATTGTCAGTATCAGTAGCTCATTCTCGGCTACATTTTCGTGTCATACGTGAACGTTGCAGTTGACGATACAGTTAATGAGAAAACGTACGTGCGAAAGCTCAAGGACATGACTTGCTTTAAAAAACTAGCCTAGTTTTTTCAAGTTCGTCATTTGTAGTCCTTGTTAATCTTTGCCATCCCTAACGATCCTGGTATCGTTTTGATTTTTTCTTGCCTCTTAAGTGTTTTCTACCCTAGAACACGATCATTTCAAGGTTTTATTCTATTTAAAGGCAACTCTTTACGACCTTAAAAAATGACTCTAAAAATCGTGACGTAAGTCCTAAAATGTTGTTTAAAATGTTGCGTTATCGTTCAGACTATCGATGTTATTCCTAGAATTGTTTGTAAAACAGCCATATTTCGTTGAAATACAAATGGTTTGTTTCGTTTTATTCCAGTGCGAAATATCGTATTCCAAACTCATATCTTGTAAAAGTATAGACTAGTCTCAAAAACGGAAATTGTTTGAAATCATCAGGTGTTTAATTTGTTTCGTGTGTTTTTGCTTTTTGTGTTTCGATTCATGCGTTCGTCCTATTATTACCATGCTGACTCGTTTTAAGACAGTTTACCTTTGATATTATAAAGAAATAAAGGAATATCACAACTGAATTAAATAAAACGTTCTGCTCACAGTAGTCACTCTAGTGCAATTTGCTCAGCAAAATTTTGAATTTTTTTCCTTGATCCGATCCGTGATCCGATCCGTGATCCTGTCCGATCCAGATTTTGTCGACGCCGGAAGAGCTCGTGCTATCCTTTTTTTTTTTTTTTTTTTTTTNTTAAGTCACGTGTTACCTTGTGATTGAAGCTCTGCTCTAACTGAGATCACGTCAGTTTCTAGACATTTTGATAAGCCTTTTGATCAGTTTCTACGCAAATTTTAATACAATGATTTTGTTGCTTATGTTTTTTTTTTTTTTTTTTTTGCATTGCAGACAGTTCATCTGATGCCAGAGAAATATGGATTACAATGCTAATCCGGGATTAAAAGGGACAAGTCTCTGTGATAAGCCGCTTTAGGCACTTGCACTGATTGGGAGACATGTTATATTGCTGGGTCAAGATGCCTACCAAGTACACACAAGACGACATGTCTATAGCCAGATAAATGATGCTTTCCCAGTGGTCTATTTTGTCACGGGGACAGTACAGGTCGCCTGATAGTGCACAAGAGACAACACTAGAAATTTGTGTTACAGAGACTTTGATCAGCCAATCATAATCCAGAATTACGATGTGTTATTTACACTGGTGTAAAACTTTTTGCACTTTTTGGTGTTACACTTGAACTGCACTGCTCTCAGCCAATCAGAATCGAGTAATTTTTTCATGTATATTATAAGGCAAGAGACACGTAAATTACGTGCCTCAGGTTTACAAGGTTTACAAGGTTTACAAAACGAACAATCTGGTAATAAAATTAAAATATCAAAATAGTGACGTCTGTGGGCAAAACCGCGCTTTTGTCCTGCATGAAATGAGCACCAATCACATGTTTGCGTTCAAGTGTGGACTTAAGCGGTCAGCATTCTCCGCAGTTTGTGGAATTACAGTAGTGTGAACGACAAAATCTACGTGCGATCTCGCTGTTTGCCGACTCTAAGTAAAGACAGAGAGGGAAATAAGAAAATGTGAACTGTAGATGAACTTATCGGAGTTCTTTATTCAGGAGGTACGTCAAAAGAAGACGATTAAACTGGAAAACGGTGAGTTGTATTTGCTGTAATTAAGTTCCGGAGCTAATGTCGCAAACACAACGAGTTACGTTTTGCAAGAAAACTAAACTAGAAATTTCGATATAAACCGGCAAGGAAGCGTTCTAATCGATTTTGTTTTGCTGAACCAAAACTTCTCAGGTTCGTAGGCGAGAGTTCGAGTAAGATAAGCTGAGTTTTGGCCTAGTTGATCAAGCGTGGCTTAAGTTGGTTATGCATATTATAAAAGAAGGTTCCTTTTTCAGCTTTTTGAAAACATTCGCGATGAACTGCGATGAACTTTGCTACCCGTTGGCTTTTTGCAGGCCACATCATTGTGAATCATAATGGGATCTAAATTACTTGTTTGAGTTTTATCACATCTCCGTAGAAACAAACAAGAACTTGAACTTAGAAGATTGCAACCAAATTCCTATATTGGAGTTGTTGATCACTTGTTACTATGAGCACTTGTTGCTTTACGATTTCAATGGATGCCTTCAGTTCTTGAGAGTAACGGATATTGATGGTTAGGTGACCCGCCAAACATTTATCTAACCCGTTAATTCAGTCACAACTCTAATACCAAAAACCTAACCGGTACAAAAAAGTCTGTTGTTCATGATGTTTTTTTTTTTCGTTTGTTTTTTCACATGTCGTTTCACGCCGCTTATTTTGATCATTCTGGGTTTGTTAGCCAGGCAAAAAAAAAAAAAAAATGATAATAATAAATAAATAAATAAATAAATACTTAGCCGTGGTAATGGGAATTTCCCGCTTTGTAGTTGAAATTCACATGTTCAGCTCAAAGTGACTTATAAATAGTATGCTAACTAACTGCGAAATGTTCCGTCGCTTTTAAATTTATCAACCTTCGGCCGAGTCTAATTCCATCCATAGCATTCATAAAGTTAACTTGCTGAATATCTATTAATAACCTTACCCCTAACCCTAACCCAAAGAATGTATAAACCTAGAAACTAATATTACGTCTGAACTTGATTAAAATGATATTTCTCCGTATTCAGACACAAATTAAAATCTAGTGATTCGGAGGGCTCGAGCTTCACTACTTTCTAACAGCTTTAATTTCGTTAGCAAGTATTCAGTGTATGCATAAATTTTTAACTTTGCATAATACAATCTAATGTTTTTTTTTCCGCGCTCGCTGCAATTAATCTAAAACCCAGTCGACTTATGCCACGTGCAATTTATGCTTACTGTTTTCTCGAATCTCAATGAAAGAATACGAACACTAGCTTCTCTAAAGATGTCATATTGGATCCAAACGTAATCACCGTGGTTTTATTATGTGACGCTCTAAACCACGCCTCACTGAACTTAGTTAAGTGTGTTCTTGACGAGCTAGAGATATTTTGCCTCAAGCGATCACTGAACCTTAACCTTGAAAAAAGGCTTTCATCAATGTTTATAATTTGAGAACTGAGAAGTTTATGATCAGTATACCGCGGCAATATTCATATCTCTTTTCTGCACCCAATCCTAAGTCTATTTCTTTTTCGTGTTGTAACAATTTCAAGGTGATTGAACGGTCCTATATAACAAGGCCTAGGAGAATGAAGTATTTATGAAGAAAGTCAGCAGATTCTATGCTAGAGGATAAATAAAAAGCTTAAAAAAATCCGCTGGCATAACTTGTTTCGAAACTCCTTAAACGACGATTATTTTCGACGTATATATTGCTGCCACCCCAACCTGTAAATAGTTTGTAAATATTATCATCGAATTCGTTTAGTACTAAGCCAGATATGAAAACTTAGCCAGATAATTAAATAACAATAAAAAGAAATTTGGAAATCAAATCCAAGCAGAGCATACAACACATCCCTCACGGCATGCTAAGCTGATTTTACGATTCTCTTGATCACGTATACTCCCAAGGCAGAGGGATCGATTTTGAAACTCACATTAATCATGGTAGCTCGCTTTACATGCAGGCTTTTCCCGCAGTTCGTCCTAAACTTCTAGGAAAAAGCAATTCTAACAAGCAAGTCAAGGCTCGTTTTCCACCGCTCACTTGTGTCCGGTTTTGGGGGAGCGGGAGTTTCTTTCTCGAACTGCGGCTGATAATCTAGCCTACCTCCTGCCCCAAAATAAAATGCTCCTCTTCTTCATCCAGCAGCTTAGTCCAGTCCCTGAACTCTCTCTTCCCTGCTTCATATAGGAATAGGGTTAAAATCCCTATATAAAGTGTTGAGGGACTGAACAACCGATGGTTCACCGCATTGTCACAATATTAAGGTAACAAAAATGATTCATTCTTGGGATCATTTTACCGTCTCAACACCAATATCGCTTTCCTTTTTTTCAGCTGTATAACAGTCACCGTAGGTCATCTAAGTGAAACCTTCTTCGAGCAAGAAGAGGCGCTGGAGACATGACACGCATCTTGAGATTTTTTCTCGTCCTGCTGTTTGGATCAGTCCAAGATGGTGCTTCTGCTCAAGGTAGATTCATTATAGTCACTGCTTTACTTTGAATTCGCCGGACGTCATTTAATAGAGATGCCTCAATGAAGTAATAAAACAATTCTAGCGAGAGTAAATATGCGTTCTGACTTTCAAACGGAGCAGTTTATCTAAATACGATATGGGAGAAGAGTGAAGTTGAATGCAGTTTCAGAAATCCTTGCAATTGGGGACAAAAGTAGGTTGCATTATTTGACTAAACTGACGGTTCTCCGACATACTTTTTTAGTTTGTTTACTTGATATTTGTTTTAGTTTGGAATCTATGCACGCTCATGATTTTTTCATCTTTGCAAAACCTGCGCAAGAACTGAAATTGAAGTAGCGTATCGCGCCACGTTATCTTTGGCTCAACATTTTCCACCAGAACAGCGTTTGCTGGTCACGTTTAACTAAACTGTTTAGCCACGTTACGTTTCCGACAAGCCACATCCTACCCATTGAGCGAGATTTTTCTTTTTATCTATATTTTTTCACCAGATCTGGGGACTTATTCCTCGTGTTTCTCAGAGCACATGCTGGTAGAAGTGGACCTCACCCAAAATCCCGTTCTTGTTCCCAGTGAAATACATCTTAACGACATCAACTGCAGAGCAACTGGGATCAACGCCACGTTTGCCTCGTTTAAAATACCGCTCAGTGGCTGTGGAACGATTCGAGATGGATCAGACCCTCATGTTTTGGTTTTCTCCAATACTGTGCGCTGGTCTCCGCAGCAACAACCTGGCCAAATCCAGACCCGTATATACGGGTTCCGGTCCCGTATTATCTGTAGGTACGCTCGCAATGGTACTGTAAGCGTTTCAATAGAACCTGTTCAAGGGATTTCAGTCGATCAAACAGGTACGAAATATTCTAAGTCCTTTTGTTTGTGGTTAATCATATGTCTTGCTGTAAAGAACCGAGATAAGGTCAGTTTTATATCGTGTAATCATGGTTACAAGTAAAGGAGTTCAGTCACGGTATTTTGAGTTATTTTGGCCACGTACTAAATTACTTTTAAATTGAAGGAAATTTGAAAATAGTAGTTTACTAAGATAGAAAGACACCAAAGAGATAGCAAAAAACCACAAAGGAACAAGGATGGTTAAAGATGGAGCAGATTGACACGGATTACAAAAGACGAACTTGAAAAAATTAGGCTAAATTTTTCGAGATGCACAAACGGCGCCGTAGCTCCTTTAATTGTATGAGGTAGCGCTGGCCCATCTACTCACGCACTCTCCATATTTGTGTTAACAAATAGCTCTGTATTTGTTCTGATGTATAAAATCACCTAAAAACAACAGAAATTCTTAAGATCTGAGTCTGCCTAAGTTGAGAAACACTAAAGAGGCAATGACAAATCAAAGAAAGACAAGGATGGGCAAAATTGGGAAAGATTGAGTGGGATTACCCTCAGATTACCGGTGAATAAGTTTGAAAGCTGCTACGTGAAATTGCCTATCATCAAACGTGACCCGGCACCAGCATCAAGAAAGGACGATCTATAGATCACCCTCTTTTACCAGTATACACAGGACTGACAGGAGCCCATCACCCGGAGCCTCCATGCGTATTATAACGTAGCGTCAACCCTTTCCCGTATCATTTTATTTTTAGAACTGTAATTAGCGCAAGGGTCCCTTGGTTTCCCACGAAATATCTTGTTTCTGCAGATAGACTGAATGCAAAATAGAGGACAAAAGTGGGGTCTCAGTCTTTGTTGTTACAAACTAAAAGAACGGTCTTAGCTGGGGGTATCATTGGGTATTGAAAAGGGGTCATGTGAAAACTCCCACAAGAGCTGTTAATTTCTAAAAATAGAAAGATACGGGAAAGGGTTGACCCACAGGGTTTGCATAGGAGAGGCATCTTGGAGGCTCCGGGTGATGGGCTCCTGGTATACAAAACATTTTCAACATTTAATCGTCGCTGAGATCCCACAAAAACACATCAATGTATCACAATTTACAGCTTTATTAACTGACTCTATCACGATCTTCTCATTTCTTGCCCGTCTCTTGCTGTCTCCCATTTTGATTGACAGCGTTACCTGGTAAGGCCTTTTTTACATCACGATAACTGAGTATCAACAGCATCGTTTATCGCCTGTCTTTTTTGTTTCAGTTTATGGAACATTTTCATTTTCATTTGAAATATTCCAAGAAGCCAACAGGCAAAATAAGCGAGACCTCGATGTCCTGGTGCTTCCTGGTACTCCTCTGTACTTCAGAGTTCGGGTAATATCACCTGACTCAGACCTGGTTCTGCATCTCAGTAGATGCTGGGCTAGAAACAGCGACGGAGATGGTCCACCTGCCTTCATTGAAAAAGGGTAAGAGTTAATTAATTAAAAAAGAAAATGACAGAATAATAAGTGTTTGATACAGCTGCCTTACGAATGCTTACATCGCGCTTAAATTAAATGCTATTTTAGTGACATATCTGACATATCAAGAGATCGCCGGGGTCTTTTTTTTCAATTCCACACAACGAGAGGAGAGTTAAAAAACACGACGCGCAGTGGAGTATTGATATTTTTGACAAAATTCCCAAACAATAACCCAAGACCGTGACGGTACCCGGTGTTTGGGTATCTAATCTTAATTAGCATAGATTTCTACGATTTTATTTCTCTGTTTTCTCCTTTTCTCAAGACAGTGTTTGACCACATTTTCGTGAAACACCTCAAAGCTCGTCAAAAATACTCTGCTGCGCGTTGTATTTTCAACTCCCTTCCCAGTGTTTGGAAGTGTGGTCAAACACAGTTTTTAAAGCTCAAAGCGAACAAAGAAAACCCTGTTTTTACCAAGAAAATCTATTTTTACGGTTTTTCTACATAGTACCGGCTAGCTATGTAGCAAACGCGACAGAAGCCCCAAATTAAAACGGCTTGCATTGGAATCTTCCGAAAACTAACGTAGCAAGCTTTGCGTAGAGATATTTTTTATTCTGTGTTGAGAAAATAGGAGAGGAACTGAAGAGCTTTGCATAATTAATAGCGAAGCGCTAAATTTTCACAAAAATCGAAAAAAGATACACATCAACAGTAAGGAGAATTACTACTCTGGTCAAGCCGTACTCAGTTCTTTTCCTATTTAACACAGATGCAATAGTGAAACTGATGACACCCTGGTTTATCAATGTGATGCGACTTCATCAATTCAAGACTTCCACCTCAACGCCTTTCGGATACTCAATTCTTCCAACAATCTGGTCTTTTTCTTATGTGACGTCATAGTTTGCCTGAACAACGGGAACAGTTCCATTTGCGAAGATCGCTGCAACAATTGTACCGCGCCGGGCGCGGGAGGGAATGGAAGAAAGAGAAGGTCGTTGGGGGAGAATGGGTACGACTTAGGCTCTAACACATACTCTCTCGCTGTTGGTCCCTTTTCAGTCAAAGAACAAGAAGATGGAGAAGGTTTGAAGATTTGATTTGACTTTTTTTCCTCTCCGCACCGTTGACTGATTTATCTACCGTCACGTTTTGTGACATTTGTTAACCTCGTTCCCAGTGTGCGCTCGGGGTAGTTTTTCAAAATAGCGACTGAGAGAAGCCATCTTCTTAAAAAGCAACTTAGAAGACGCTGGGACAAGTTTTCCAATTGCTTTCGTAAATACGCACTGTAATTCAAAGCGTCTCTTCTCAGTGCCAGTCCCATTGACCAACCGTCTTTAGTGGGGAATTTTTCATTCGGTTTAAGAA